AGGACTATTTCTGACTTGTGTATTGATTTTTAGTTAAGAACGAAGTAACTTACCGCAACGTGGTGTCAGCTAGTGCTCAACATAGGGCATATTCTATCATCAAATATATCAGCTATAGTCTTAAGATTATGATTACTGATGGTGAATGCCACGCTTCGTTCTATTTTCTTTACAACTGGTAAGTTTTGCTTTTACTTTAAAGTGAAGGGCATGAAAAACGCTTCCAGTTGTTCGCATGGGACAATAAACCGGCTGTGCACTCGATCCCTCGAGTAGGCAAATGTCACTGCCACTCATTGCACACTGCATGACGTTACTCGTCGACATTAGCAGAAAAATAGGAGGTCAAGATCCATTTCATTTTATTTTGTACAGACGTCATCAGAAGTCTTATGACGTCATACTTAATCGGCTGGTAGCTGACATTCCAACTTCTAACAATATCAGTATTTTTTCATAATGAGGAGTTTTCAATGAGTAAAGATGCTTGTGAATAAAAAAAAACGATGGGGTATCTCAGAAACAAAAATACCGGCAGCTTTTTCTTCCACTGATTTTGTCTGGCGGAGCATATTAAAAAACAATTTATACGAAGAGTTCTGAAAGCATTGTTTCTTGATAAAAAAGAAAGCTTTTAATTCCCAGGGCAAAAGTTGATACAATTCTGATGTAAAATACGGACGAAGAACCTTCTAACCGTTTAAATTGATTTTGATGGAAATAGAATCGATTTTGGCATTGTAAAGGTCAAAGATATATGACCCACACTTTATCACGAAACTTTAAATAGGAGTAGACACGAACATCATTTAAGAGATTGCGCAATTGGAAAATAAATTGGATTTGTTCTTACTGATCGTTTACAGATATAAGAACTATTTTTCAAGAACCTTGAAGACAATACAGAAAAGACTGTTCTTTAAAAACTGGTAGCACTAAAAAAATGGCATACACATTTTAATTCAGATAAACATAGCATAATAAAAATGTGGATTTTCCTCTCACCAATAGGAGCCAATTGGAGATCATTGGCCTGACTGTAATTTTACTTAAGACACCCTTTGTTTTAAATAATCTGCACAAAAATATCTAGGTAACTAGTAATCAGATAAATTTAAACCAATACCAGGAAGCAAAAACATAAACTTCGGATTGCTTTTCGACTCTTGACGTTTTGAGGGGTTGAAATTGAAAAAATAGTTAGACAATAGCTATCATTAACCTACTTGTGGTTCTAGAGGAACACATCGAAACGTCAACAAAAAAAAAACAATTGTCTATAGAAAGTACAAATTTTAGCTATACGTAATAATGAGGTTTCTCATGAAAACAAATAAATCAACGAATTGATACCTTTAAATGAAAATGTCTTTCGTTAGTAATTGATACATCATCTGTAAAATTGAAGAGAGTTGAGAAACTACCAAGGGAATTTCTAATATAGAAATCGAGAATTAAAATGGCAGTCAATAACTTGAAATATCTAGGAACGGAGACAGAAAACAGCCTCCGCAGTTGATAAGGTTATTTATACCAGTTTTATCTAAACAACAAATCCTGTATAGCTTTCATTTCAACTCTGGAAATTGTCTTATTCCTCCCATTGTCACAAATCATGTTTGTATTTTTTACATAAATAGGTTTTTCGTTTTTTATCCTTCTTTTCTTATGTGTCATATTAAACAGCAATAGCGAGTAGGTCGCTAGGACAATATTTTGCCAAATAATTTTATCGGATTGCACGACTCTTTCTTTGAACATCCCAGACAATACTCTCATTTGGAAGAACGAATTTTGTCAGAAATCATCAAACATTCGTTTCTGATTCGAAGCTAGTTTGTGACTTGTGATAAAAATTTGGTTAAGAGTTGCTTTCCATGAAATGGATCTAAAATTTACAATCTTGATATTACCTCCCTTGAAGTTGATCTGAAATTTACAAATGAAGTATTACCTCCCTTGAAGTTGATCTAAAATTTACAATCTACATATTACCTCCTTTGAAGTTGAGCTAATCTTAAATATAATTGTACTTCCCTTGAAGTTGATCTGAAATTTACAATCTACATATTTCATCCCTTGAAGTTGATCTGAAATTTACAATCTACATATTACCTCCCTTGAAGTTGATCTGAAGTTGATCTGAAATTTACAATCTACATATTACCTCCCTTGAAGTTGATCTGAAATTTACAATTGAAGTACATGTATTACCTCCCTTGAAGTTGATCTGAAATTTACAATCTACATATTACCGCCCTTGAAGTTGAGCTAATCTTAAGTATAATTGTACTTCCCTTGAAGTTGATCTGAAATTTACAATTGAAGTATTACATCCCTTGAAGTTGATCTAAAATTTACAATCTACATATTACCTCCCTTGAAGTTGATCTGAAATTTACAATCTACATATTACCTCCCTTGAAGTTGAGCTAATCTTAAATATAATTGTACTTCTCTTGTTGACCTGAAATTTACAATCTACATATTTCATCCCTTGAAGTTGATCTGAAATTTACAATCTACATATTACCTCCCTTGAAGTTGAGCTAATCTTGAATATAATTGTACTTCCCTTGAAGTTGATCTGAAATTTACAATTGAAGTATTACATCCCTTGAAGTTGAGCTAAAATTTACAATTGAAGTATTACCTCCCTTGAAGTTGATCCAAAATTTACAATCTAAACATTAGAAATTGACATAATTCTTTTGATGTTTCCGTCTTTCAATATCCATTTACTCTCTAATGTCATTTCCACGCGCACCATGGTTCTTCATTGATATTGTCGGCTTTATAATTGTGGCATGATGTTGCTGTGGTAGGTCTGGCATTAAAATCCTAGCGTGACGTAATTTGGCCAATTTGTCACATGGAACTTTCATGTACCATTCGTTATATGGACAATTTCTTTTTAAAGGGACAGATGTTCCGTTCTGGGAGGTTGATTTTAGTCTTGAATATATGTAAATAGTCTTCAGAAGTACTAGAAATGTAAGAAAATCACATAATTCCTTTAAAAATACTTCAAACTAGGAATTTTACACACTTTTTCTATTATGTCTTTTCTATATATCACAGAGTATCTTAAATTGACGAGTCGTCATTTTAACATTCAAACGCAGATAATTCTGGACCCACGTGGATTTAAAGGCTCAGATTGACAGTGAACTGTGAACACTTACTGATTTGCTCAGCTAAAATAATCCAGTTTGTGAGACTAAAGTATGGTTAGTCAAAAAAAGCCTGCCTGTCCCTTTAAACTTTGTTGACTCTAAGTAAGGGGTGCCAATTACTTCTTTCTTTTCACTATAAAAGCTGCTTCAATAATTTTTTGACGCCTTCTACAACCTACTGAAACTGCCTGTCATTATAGCTTCGCCCCCTTCCTTATTTTTTAAAGAAAATTATGTTGTAGCTGAACAATAGAAGAAATCAGAAGCTATACAAAGGATTTTAGAAACATATCATACGTGAAAAGATACAGGAAGCAAAGAAAAAAACTATGTTTTTTAAACAAAACGCATCTGTTGATTTTAGAGATATTCTTAAGTTCTTCTAAATATAAATACTTGCACGTCATTTCTTAGACTAAAATAGAATGTATTTGTGAGTGTTATATAAATATCATTAGTGGCTAAATCACGTCCTAACAACCCAGTTCCTAATCCATTATTTATTTATGAATGTTACCTATGGTATGATTGGGGGCATAAATCAAGTAGGCTTATACCATAACCATAACGTGTGACCCCCATTTCTAGCAGTTATTCTTAGTCGTGCTAAATTCCATTCTTACGACCCTTTTTGGATAGAATGAGTACTAGAGGAAATAAGTCCAGAACAATATGGTTACTGCTCATTATTTACATTTGTGAACCACTTCTGGAAAAAATTCCATCATTGTACCCAGCATTATCAGCCTTCCCTACACCAACGAAGTGCAATCCAGCGGAGGCGATTCTCGGTCAGATCATTTAAACATAACCTGCTTCATCTCAGAGGAGATTATGTTATCAGGATTTGTGGATTTTGTGAAAATAGATATCAACTTGTGCCATTTCTAGAAAGTATTGTATTCTGAATTCAGAAATATAGAGTATACGGTCAATTCTTTGTTAAATGCAGACTGATTTATAATAGGTCGAACCAGTCGCAGCTTCTCTATTAAACATATTTGAGTTTGAGTGATCCTTTAATTCCTATCTAGTCTACTATCTTTACATTTATATAGGTCTACCTGGCATGTTTACTAGTAGTGTTCTATGGGTCTTGAATGTAACCCAGCACTAACAGGTAAGGGGATACCTGTATAGTAATTGGTCGACGCCTCACTAGTTTATTCTATTTCAACAACAGTTAATGCATTAACCATCGCGTTGCTCAAGTATATTTCAACAGTATATTATCTATCTACATAGGCTACATCTGGAAACGGTTATCAGCAGCTTATACCAGAAGTTAGTGAAATAGACATTCTGAGCATAGAAATGAAGCTTGTTAGCAAATACATTGTAGATAGTCATATTATTTTGTAAAATTTTAACCGTTGTCGCATAATAGTTTGCTCAGGGAAGAATACTAAACTGTTGTAAATAAAAATTACTCATCGCCTGTTTGCATTTAATCAAAACGGGGTGCAGATATTGCTTTAAGAAGAATATATTATTTAGTGATATATTTATAGCTGTTGTTCATTGAGTAGTTTCAGAAATTGGTCGCTGAAGGTGGTAATGTACCTTGCCTTAAGCTACCATTATCTCTTGCTGTGTCGTATAAGTGCGAAGATTAATCAGGAAATATTATCAATAGTATTGACCCAATGGAGCGTACTTTGACACATTCTTCTGTTTACAGACACTAGTCTGTTTTTATCGACCAACCTCCAAGATGGCAGCAGAAATAAGAGAAAGTGCCAATCAAAGTTTCCGTCTGTTATTTATTAACATGGTTTCTGTTTCACCAACTTTTATGTAGAAATAGTTGAATTTTGCCTTTGGCTTCTATCGTGTGGATTTTACTAGCGTTTTATATCCATATCACGAAGAGATTGAATTATATTGTGAACTTTATAGTATTGGATATAATGAATTTGATATGATATAGCCTTGTGGAATAAATTGGTTATTCTGTATTTAGAGTTCGGAGAGAAATTAACTAACTGTAGGGTAAGACGGCTGTTATTTTATATCATTTGAAGGTTTTTTTTTTGGTTATGGTGTTGATAACTGTAACTGTTGTAAGCATATAGAGAGGATAAAGTTCAAAGTGATTTTTGATATCTTATTTTTGTTATAGGTTGAAATGCATGCATTATCATGATGCATTATATATCTATTTTATATTATCCATACTAAAATCTTGGAAATTGTATATGAGAGGGTAAAAAGCGATATTTTCTAGTTTTCCATGTATGTAGATCTGATCACGGGTATTTGTGGACAGGATAGAACCCGTGTTTTAAAATGGACATTAAATTTCTCAAGATATTTCTGGTAACAGAAATTTTTTTTAGCGCTGTTGTTCATTTCTTGCATGCAAGTCATAAGCATACTCCGTTTTCAGTAGCTGATATGATAAAAAAAAGGCATCCCGTTTTATTCATACATTTTAAATACTAAGAAAAAAATACGAGTGACTAATAACTGACGTAAGATGTTTCTAAATGTATACTATACTGTATATTCTCTGATTTCATCATCCGAGAATTACTTCTTTTCATACCTAACAATGGTTACACAGTCTTAAAGACGTTGTTATGGGTTTTTATTGATTTAACGTTTTATATTCTGTAGAAAATGGAATATTTAATTAATATATAACTTATTCTGATCATTGATTCTGTAACTATTCTCACATTCCATATATAATTGAATATAGAAAGAATAACTTGAAAAAGGGGGGGGGGGGCCAGTTTTATACAAACAGGAATTGTTTCTGAAAGTACACATTCTTAATCTTGAGAACTTGATAATATCTGGTTTAAGGTTTATGTCAAATATGGGAATCATGTTTAACTAAACTTCTTATGCTTATTAATTTAAAAAATATTCCAAAAATTTCAACCATCTTCCGATTTTAAGTGACAAAATTCAGATAACCGATTCCATTATTGCAACTTAACATCATACACCATTGCCCGCCGGATATATTTACTACCCCTGCGTAATCTGGTCTGGCTACAGCCTGTTCCGGTTACCACCTTTTTGAGATGGGAACATATTATTATTTATGCCATTGGATATGAATATACGTTATGCACTGTCGTCGGAAATAGCTTGGTGATAATTTGTACAAAAACGAACAGGGTCGCTATTTACAGTTAAATGTATACTGTTTAAACCGGAAATGCCATTTGAATTATAAATCATTTGTTATCAAATTATGTTAAAATATCGCTATCAGAGAGTTATGTTATGATAACTGCTACGTTATATGTAATTTAGTTAGTTTATTGATTTTTCAAAGAATATAACCAGATTAGTAACTGCACTTAATTTTCAGTGCATAAGTATTCTGATCTTTCAGGGAGAACAATTATTTCGTCATAATGAAGTTTTGTTTTGTTTGTACCATAATACTAGAGGTTCATAAACGTCAAAAAAATAAAAATTGTGTCTTTTATATTTTACAGATAACTGTACAATGTAAAGAATAGAACTAGACGAAATCAACCATGAGTTTTAAGGATAAATCACCACGGACCAGTACATCGGAGAACCTCCAACAACTAAACATCAAGGACCACTATCAAGTCATCAAGGAACTAGGAAGAGGGACCTATGGTAAAGTGTTACTTGCCAGATGCAGGGAAACAAACGCAGAAGTGGCACTTAAAGTGTTGCTTAAACAAGGAACCAAACTCAGGGACTTTCGAAGAGAATTTAAAATAAGTTATTTTTTGTCACCACATTTTAATATCATGGACACTTATAATGTTGCGTTCGAAACTCCGACATCATTTGTGTTCGCTCAAGAATATGCTCCGCTTGGTGATCTTTTTGACGTCATTGAGCCTCAAGTGGGCATGACTGAGGATGAGACCAAACTTATAGTGAAACAAATCGGTTCCGCCCTCGACTTTATGCATAGTAAACAATTAGTTCATCGGGATATTAAACCAGAAAATGTCCTCGTGTTTGCTCCTGATTATTCAAAAGTGAAACTGATGGATTTCGGAATGACTCGACAACAAGGTAGTGTGATCCGTAAAACTAACGGCAGTATTCCCTATACACCCCCAGAAATATGTGAAGCAGTGCGCAATGAGACAATTATAGTTCAAACTACAAGTGATGTTTGGGCTTTCGGAGTATTAATTTTTTGCATATTAACTGGAAATTTTCCTTGGGAAAGTGCTGACATAGGTGATGTGTACTTCAAAGAATTTGTTTTATGGCAAAGACGTAAAACAGTAAAAATTCCTTCGCAATGGCGCAAATTTACGCCTCGATTCATGCGACTTTTTCGTAAAATGTTGGAAATTAAACCTGATAAAAGGTGTAATATTAACGAAGTTTATAAGTATATGAGTAACATGTGGTTAACAACTGCTAAACATGGCAGTGATGACGACGATTGTATTAGTTCAGATGATTCTGGACATAAACAAGAATTAGTGTCGATGTTGAAGGAATACGGTGTTGATACTAAGGTTGATAAACGTATCCGTGAACGACGGATCTCAGAATGGTTATTATCTTTATGACTAGACAATATGTCCACAAGTTTTTGTACAAGCATTAGACTTGCGTTTCGGCAAATACGATCAACAACTGCTTCAATAATAGTTATCATTTCTGGAGCGATTTTGACTTATGCATTTGTGTTTCATTTGTACTGGTATACTGCTTTAGTGTTGTGACCAAATCTAGACCTCATTAACGATTCCGTACCTTATAGCATTATTGACAGTTAATGTATTTATTTTTATAGAGAATTGGTAGAATTTATAAACATAGATTTGTATTATTCAATATGAATATTTTGTATGTACTTATTTACTACAAGACTGTCTGCTGCATATTATGTCTAAAACAAACAGTATCTCTCAAGTATGAGTAAACTGGTACCCTCTTGTGTTCGCTTATCGCAATACTAACGAAGCTTTATAAAAGATGGAATGAGGGACCAGTTTAAAGTATGAGCGTCTCCTTCCATTGTATTCTATCGTTTGTCTGTGAAAATGTTCTACACAGTAACTGCGAGAAACTGGTTGCAACTGGAAGAATGTGGTCGATCAATGATATCATAGTCGAAGAATGAAAAATCGCAAGTTGCAAGGTATAGGTTTCATGATAAAAAATGGCCGTATAGCTGTCGGAATCTGTTTCTAGAAGTTTTTCGATGTGATCATTTTGCTTGATTAACGATTCGCGTGTAGTTCGCTTGTCGACCTGATATCGCCTTTAGGAAGGTGGTGGTAACAGCATTGACACGCATCTAAATCCGTCTTTTAAGTCTTCTTGTACATCAATGGTGTTGCATTACATGGATCTGTATCTTGCTGACTCTGAAGCTCATCATCTGCTACACCTTGCAAGATGACTTCATTGGTATACCATCTTAGTCGAAATTTATATAGTTACATTGATGGGTGTGTTCGAAGGATGATTGAACTGTTCGGGTGGAAGTCTTGGGTCAACTGGAATAATTACAGTTCTGAAGCTGTCCATCAATTTAATCTCGAAGTATTTTCTGTTCTTTGTATGCAAAAAAGGTTATTTTTTGTCAACGACGCGTATTCAAAATGGATTCCATAACTATATATGATAATGGCTTAACGTTGTTAATTACTAAAGAGTTTGGATATCTCTGTTCGCTACGATCGTGGGAGTATATTGAGATACATATAGTAGTGGCTTGGATGATCACCAATCTGATTAAAGCACTATGTCTAGACGATTAAGAGTCTCAATGATAAGACAAATGACCGAACACCTTCAGCCGTGTGGGTGATATAGCGCCATTTGTTATCACCAAACGTCAAATTTGATTGTTTGGTATTCAGATTCTGCTTTTCGATTTATATACAGAAATGAACTCATCCTTATGATACGATACTTAAATCTAGCCAGTAACTTCGTTCTAGGTTTTGAGTTGGCTTGTGCGTGTATGTTGCTCGAAAATCGCAATGGTATTTGACCACAGTTTGGGCTTCCAAATTGACTTGGGACCTGAATTCAAATTATCGAATTAACGATTGGAACGCCTTTTGTAATTAAATTCAATGTATTTATATACACCCATCTGAACAATTAAATATAGGTTGTAGGCTCATAATGTGTGATATTTTGTCGAAATGATTTTTATATAAAAGATTGTTATTTTGTGTTTTATACAGACATAATAAAACATTGCTTTCACCTACCAGACTCTTGATATCTGTGTTGCTCTTGATATCTGTGTGATATCTGTGTTGTTCCTGAAATTTACTGATCGTACCATAGTCTTTGGGAACGCAGCAAAAGCCCGGGGCCTTACTCTTAAAAAAAATAAATTAAGATGATTTTAGTGTTTCATTTGATTGGTCAATCGTCAATCACTAAAATTGATTTTAAATTAATTGATTTTAAATTAATTTTTGTCATCCAATCCGATTACTGTATTTCTTAAAAATCTAGATTTTATTTATGTTAAGTTTTGGAGAATAAGGCCTCTGGATATCTCTACTGGAACAAAATTACGTCTTATGGAAGAACATTGCCTATTGCGATTCTTATTATAACATACACATTCGGATGTGTGGGAGGGGTAGCATTGAACTGTTATAAGCTTCTCTAAAATGAAACTAAGTTGTGTTTTACTTCCAACTTTTTGCACCTGATAGCATTTTTCTCAGATCTGACAAATATAGCTATCAAATACCATGATAATCTGACAATAAGATTACATGGCTATCTCTCATAATTCATAAGTCCAAGATAAATACAATAACAAATATATTGATTTCTGACTAATGCCATTAATTATCCTTGTTAACCATACACATGGTCATCAACTTGAATATCTCAATCATATTGCTACCTAATTATTGGTACCACGTTCTAATACCAAACTGATAAAAACAGAATTAGTTTGCCTCAGTAGGAGGTCATTTTTATATCGTCATTATCTACTTTATTAGAATGAAAACCTACTTAAGGCAATTTCCGTTTTCTACCTTGTCACTTTAGAGTAATGAGATTGTGTATCGATGACGTCCCCTGATTGATTTGTAATAGGACTAAACGTTTCGACATATTTGACACATTCATTCATTCTTTATCTCTAACACTTTGTATTGTACACAATCGATAATGATTGGCACGAATGAAGAAAGCTGCAAAAAATTCCAAGAAATGTCAAATTAATAGGCCTACATTGTTCCAACTACCCACTAAGATTTCCTTATGCAGATGTTTTAACTGGTCTGTCTAGCCAATATCGTTGTTAAACAAACGGCATGTAATGAAAAGTCCGTGTCCAGTCGTAGGTCATATCGCTATCTTTCTCTATTATGATCGTGAACAACATCGAGACCACAATCATACGGATCGCATCGGTCCTTGATGAACGTATCGGAACGTAGCAGATAACCAAATGTTGACTCAATCGGAACAATTCTACTGGAATGCAATATGATCGTATTGGTACAGAAGATCGGGCCTTGGCAGATCGTAACGCCTGGAATTGACAGGCTTGTATCGATTAGACATGTGTATTTACATCTATAGAATCCACACGTCCTTACCATTTTTCAACAAACAATCAATCGATACGCAATCGGGGTTTTAAGTTTCAAAAACGCGGATAGTTCTGTACACACTTGGATTTGCAATGAAGACTCGAATTTAGACAGTGAGCTGGAAACACTATTCATGATTAGCTTAGCTTCTTAGACAGAACTTGTCCCTTTAACCGCTAATGATGTCAGACGAAGTTATCTCCCATTTATATCATTACCTCGGGTCTAGTGGTAATCAGTGGTGGTGGGTTACAACAAACAAGGGACAGACTGACTTAACGGAAAGGGGGTGGGGGGAGGGGGGGGGGGGGTTGTGGTAACTCATTCAAAATGCGGCAGCTCCGAGAAATTTGTAAGTACGAATGAATTTGGGGGTACATAGAATTATAATTTGGATCTAAATTACTTATCGTTCTGGAAGGGCGAACATGCTCTACCTCGCTAATGGCACAGTAGGCTCTATAGGCACAGTGGAGCTGTCATTCAATCAATTTTGGAATCTGATTTGAGAGCTAAAGCTGTACTGTAACAGACTGAACATTCATCTACATCTAGTTGAAGTTTAAGCCTATCCATCAACTTAATCATCGGTCTATTATATACAGTGGACTATCGTTATTGATATAGTCCAGCCCAGCACTGTATTCATTTGTGTACCTGATGTGGGATCTTAAGCCAATAATGCTAACTTGGCTTTCATTTTCATAAGTCTCTGTTCTCTTGCGAGTTGCATGTCTCCATTCAGTCCTATTTGTGGCCAGGAATTCCAATTGTTTCTCCGTGGTACCATTTGGTGTTTAAGATACGTCATAGTGGTGGTGGTGCTGGTGCGATACTGAACGAGAAACTTGGCATGACTATGATAGACAGTCCATAACTCACATCCGTGCATTATTGCAAGTAAGGACTACTGCTCTGTATACTCTTCACTCCAGTTTCAAGACCCTTTTGTTTCATACTCGTTTGTTGAGTCTGCCGTAGGAAGCCTTGGCGATGCGGTTACGACTGTTGAAAGAATTAAGAGGGGACTGCTACCAAGATAGGTAAAAGAGTCGACATTGTTAAGACTCTTGTCGATCTTTATTTCAGGTGTGTTTGCTGTTGAGCTCTTCAAAGATTGAAATATCACTTCTGTGTTCTTGATACTTAATGTGAGTCCAAACTGCTTGGTGTCCGCTTGGTCTTTGCCTACTAGTATTTGCGTTGAGTATTGCTATATCTGAACCCCCGAATCTAAGTCTTTATAGGCAGAGAAAAGCATCATAACGCAAAGGAAGCTTAATAAGAGTGTTGGAGCAAGAACGCATTCCTCCTTTACTCCATTAGTAACAAGGAGCTCATCATTTCATTGACTAGTCTTGCATTCATGCCATCATGGAAGCTTCTGATTATTTTCATCATCCTGGGATGGGTTCCAATACGAGTCCTAGACCAGTTGAGGTTGACAGGAGGTTGTAGAGGTTCCTGACATTTCTTTTGGATCTGCCTTGCAGTGAATATCGTGTTAACTGTCTCTCTTTTCAGACGAAAACCACCACACTGGCTTTCTGCTATTGTCTTATTGAGAAAGTGGGTATTTAACCCGTTTAAGCTGACCTTTAAGAGGATTCTGTCTGTTATAATCAGAAGAGAGATATCACGATGGTTGTCACGGTTGGACTCGTCGCCTTTACCTTTGTACAGGGCACTATTAGTGTTATAGATAAACAAAATGTATTAGACACATAGTGAAATTAGTTTCTGAATAAGAGTGAGCATAGGCTACCACTGTTATATAGTGAAGCTAAAATTCAATAAAGTTCCTCAGCATTCGAGTTGAAACCAGTGCAGGTCCACCCTCGAGAAATTTTGTTAATTTATTCTTTTTAATAAGTCATATTATTTTAAAGAGCTCAAATTAAAGAAAACTATAGTTTTCAAAATCTAGAGGTGACACTTACCTTATGTAAAAGTTTTAACTAAACGAAATCCTGTCTTTAATTTTTAAAACGATACATGATATTACAAATAGCATAATTATTTAAAAACATTTTCACATAAGTTTTAAATTTTTTTTAATACTGAAAATTCTGCTAAATGCCCCTTCAACCAGTGGACAGCCGTTAGAATTGACCTTCATTATAATAAACTGGTCCTACTTTTAATCCTGATTAAACAAGGTGTGAAGCGGGCTTGATTATAACGTATACACCACCATTGACGTTATTATCATTACTACGTCACCGAAAGCTCAGTTAGCTTGGGTTAAAAATAGACCCGATATCGACATTAGGAAAATACGGTGAGAAATATTATTTAGCTCATATACTTATTGCCATCGATTTCTATGGTATTTATGATATTTCCTTACAATGCATGACTGCTATGTATAACTTTTTCGTTGTAGACATTGGCTGTTTAGATGTTCAAATTGAATGCAATTTTTGCAGGAATTGGTAAATGAAAATGGCCGCTTGCACGCGTTTTATTGAATACTTTCTCCACCGATGCTCTTGTGTTGCTGCAAAATAACACAATGTAGCGCATTAATTGTGAGATTTTGATGTCATCATTTGTTTTTGAAGAAGATAATTGTATTATTTAGTTTATAATTGGGTCAATATGTTATACCGTTATTTAATCACCGGTTTGTTTTGACCTGCATCTTTCTCGCTCCATGAACTGTGTGTATTCATTTCGTGGACCTACTGTTTGTTTATTTTGTACAAGACCTATTCGCACTGCCTTTATACTGTACCATTAGACATTATCACTATACAAATAATATATAGTAGATTAGGCCACCCGATGGGTAACAAATTCTTCCTTTAAACTTTTAATACAAAGCATAGTCAAACCTATCTGACTACTCATACATAGATCTAGATTTAAGGCCTAAAACAGTGTGATTCAGTGAGTAATTTCCCTTGGCCTACATAATGACATGTTTTGTTCCTTTCCTATATTGACTGGGGTGATAAAATATTGAATATATTTAGAGCAAATATACAATGTCAGCTACAGGTATGTGTGCGACTTGAAAAGGGAGGCAAAGATAACATACGGTACAATGTTTCATGTTGTGACCCCACTTGGACTCCCCTTTTCTGCTTTGTAATAGTACTGTGAGTTCCATTTGGGTAGTGTAGTTTGTTGTCAATGCTGAATATCCATCTGGAAGTTAATTTATTTAGTTTATTAGATTTTCAAATCAAACCTTTTAATCAACAGAGCCAGTCTATTCAATCTTGTATCACTTTATCAAGTTTACGTGCTCTTCAAGATTTTGTGACCTTTATATAATTTTAGTAGAGAATCAAAATGCCCACCATCAAATTAAAGAAAGCTACGGCTGATTATATAGCAGAAAAGGAAAGAGAAAAAGAAAAGGATTCCAAAACCAAAGAAAAAAGTAAACCTGCCGAGAGATCATACAAAACAGAATTAAAGAAACTAGATGGAGAAGTGTTATTTGAAAAAAGGAAGAGAGTACTGCCTGTTGCAGAGCAGACGCTGCATGATTGGTAAGGCAGTTTGTTCCAATTTTTCCAAATTAGAGAAACACTGGTATTGTCTAAATTTTTTGCTATTACCCACAGGACAGAGCGCCATTTCAGTTGCCTGAGGCGCTTAACATAAACCTGAACAGATTTTTGCAGAACATGTAAGCTAATATATCACTTCAACTGAATCATTTTTGAATTTAAGTTGATTTTCATTTATTTATTTTTCTGCAGGATTGATGGCCATCTTGAATCTAAATCAGGAGTACGTTTAACTCTACCAAGATTATATGAATTTTATGGTACCAGTTGTTTAGAAGACAGTAAACCAGTTCTAGATCTTGATGATTTTTCTAAGGTAAATGTGAAAAAGGGAAGACTAATGCAGCTGTCCTATCAATATTTCTTTCTTGGCAGACTGCACAACATTTCTCTACCTCATAAACCCACACAGGCAAGCAGAAAGTAGGACTTACAACTCCTATTCATTTCTCTCTTAGTGATGTCAGTTATGATATTTATAATGACAATTCAGATTGTTGCTTTTTGTTGAATTTATTTAAAGAATGTTTGGAAAATATGTTTTATTTGATATTCTAGGCATTGAAAGACAAATTTGGCAAAGAGTTTGCATTTAAAGCGACATCCCCACTGAAGGATTTGGTAAAAGAAATAAAAATAGACTCCATAAAGAAGGTGAAACATGAAGCTGGTAAAAAGAGGATGATTGAGGTCATTCAAGAAGTTCTTATTGGACTTGGAAATCCTGTATCCTTTATAAATTGTATTTTTTTCTCAATACTTGCTTTCAAAGTACATCGTAATCTACAATATGGACACTCTTTTATGGAACATTTATCAAGGTATTAGTGAGTATTAGTAAACAATGTTATCCTCTACGTAATAATTACCGGATACATATATGGCTTATCACATTGCTAGGACAATGTTGGACCTGAGGTAAAGAACTTCAGGGGGGCATAAGTTAAAGGACATAATTGCAAATAAAGGTCATGATCATTTGGCTACAGAATGAGGAATGGCCTAAACTAGTCTAATGAATGAATACGATGCAAATTTACATATTGAATTTCTTAACGAGTTAACTAGAATGCAGGAGTACGTTTTCAGAGATTATTATCAGCTGTTGCTGAAAAGCATCCAGGATTGAGTATTGGCTTACGACCAAATGCTCTATTACGTCATATTGATAATGATTTCTATCAAAAGAAAGTGTCTTTGGTAGGTTTCCTTTATCTTTTACACTGGACAACTAGGCATATATTGACATTGCTTTGATATATATTCACTTAATACATTAAATAGAATTCATCCGTGTGATACATAAATGCATTGGGTCAATGAACACAAGCCATGTATCGTGCATCATGGGAAATGTTTGCCATGACAACGGCATTATACGTCCACAAAGAGTATTTACCTACCATGTGGCCTGCATGTAGATCCTGTTGTCCATTGCTCAGATAATTGCAACAATATATTTAAGTTATATTATATGATATTGTAGGTAAAGGGAGTAGGTAAATGTGGATATTATCGAGTACCAGGTCATGAAGAAACTATCATTGGTGATGATGAAAAAGAAAATGAAGATGGAAAGGTAATTTATTGTCTGAAAGTAAATGTTGTTCAAGATCTGTACAGTATATAGTTTTACTGATTAAGATGTGATTGATTACATTCACTGATATTCTGAGAATCTCTAGAGGCTTGGCATCAATATTTCATGCAGCTTTTAGTTAGTTCTTGAGAAACTGAGAGATAGACAGAAGCTGTAGAAACAATGATATATATACAGCATGACAAATTATATACAGCATGAAAGAGTTAAATGTGGAATCAAGCAAGAAAATTAGCAATTTGATGTAATGCAGATAGCCTTGACAATATTAATACATACTGAAGACTGGTAGAACTTATGATATACTTTAGGATCAACGATTTTCTAGCCTAGAAAACTAACTGTTTTGGAAGAATGTCGATTGAACACTTACCACTACCAGTAGTATTTTTTTTAACATGACACTTGGTTGCTATTTATTAGACTGTAGAAAATGGTGAAGATGAAGGAGAAACACCTAGTAAAAGAGGAAGGAAGAAAAAGACAAAACCAGAAGGTACAGAGGAAGACAATGATGAAAAGAAGGAAGGAGAAGGAACAGACGACAAAGATGGTGAAAAGAAAAAGAAGAAAAAAAAGTCTGGTGGCTTTGTTTGTAAGTAGTATACAAAAATGTGTCTTGAATACTTTTCATTAGGCTTGTTTCAGGATGAATTAAACTATACATAAATAAACATGAATTTGTAGTAGCAATGCACATGTTTTGGTTCTCAATTTTAAGTTCTACCATAGATTGTGGTGATAAAGTCTTATGCCGCACATTGCACTATCTCTGGTGCAGAAAAGTTCTCATTTCCATTGTTCAGGAAGTCAGGAATTTTGTGACACACTAAATTATAGCTGACTTTACTCGTAGCTGTTATATATTATATAATTTATTACTAAATGTTATGTTCCCTTCTTAACTCTAATTTTAGGTAAACCAATAGACCCAAGTGATATAGATCATATTAATCCCAGACACATAGAAGATACTTTCCCCCTAGCTATAACCTATTCCAGTGAACCCAAGTCATCTACGTTTGCTAGAATGAAGAAATATGTAGAGCGGTATTATCCTGAAGTTGATATTGAAAGAAGGTGAGAATATTTTTTATTATCAGTTTAAGGGATATATCTCTTTGATTCTACCTGTCATCATGAGTTTTCAGAATAAATATCTGATGTCAGCTCACATCAGGTTTCAAAATAAATATCTGATATCAGCTCACGTCAGGTTTCAAAATAAATATCTGATATCAGCTCACGTCAGGTTATAGAATAAATATCTGATATCAGCTCACATCAGGTTTAGAATAAATATCTGATATCAGCTCACATCAGGTTATCAGAATAAATATCTGATATCAGCTCACATCAGGTTTCAGAATAAATATCTGATATCAGGTTTCAGAATAAATATCTGATATCAGTTCAAATCAGGTTCAGAATAAATATCTGATGTCAGCTGACATCAGGTTTTAGAATAAATATCTGATGCCAGCTCACATCAGGTTTCAGAATAAATATCTGGTGCCAGTTCACATCAGGTTTCAGAATAGATATCTGGTGCCAGTTCACATCAGGTTTCAGAATAAATATCTGATGCCAGCTCACATCAGGTTTCAGAATAAATATCTGATGCCAGCTCACATCAGGTATCAGAATAAATGTCTGATATCAGCTCACATCAGGTTTCAGAATAAATATCTGATATCAGCTCACATCAGGTTTCAGAATAAATGTCTGATGCCAGTAACTGTTACACAAATATATACATTAAAAAGTCATATTTCATATTGAATTATATTTGATAATAATATTTATATTATTATATATTGTTATGATTTATTGTAGCTTGCGTCCAGCACTAGAGAAAGGATTAAAGTTAGGTATATGGGAACATGTGAATAGTAATTATCTCTTGAATATTGAAGAATTTGATCCCAATCTTAGTAAGTACCAAAGAAATTGTCAATGTGGAATTAGAACAATAAAGAAATAGTAATTTTTTTATACCAGTTGTATGAGGCAAGGTGACTTATTCAAGTTCAACAGAATATTATACGCTAAGATTAAAATCAACAACCATGATTTCTCTAACCATCTTGCTTTGGTAGGATGAGGCTTTTTTTCCTTCTTAAAGTTCCAATATTGTGTACAAATTGTCGAGAGATACTACTTAAATCATGCATCACAGTGCTTCAACATATAATTTTGTTTTTTGTAGAAGATTCTGTGGATGATGTTATCTGTGCTGCTATCATAGCTACAACAGAACCAAAGGTAGCTTCAGCAAGAGCTATCAAACAATATGTACAAGATTATCATGCTGAGTTTAATATAGACAGTCATCCTAACAAATTTAAATTTGCTCTGGAAAAAGGTGTTCAGAAAACCATCATAAGGTAAGTGGATTTGATTTACATCGCTCTTGAAAGATGGTTTGGTAATGATATATATTGTATCTAATGCTGCAAATAACTAGACAATTTTATTTGTCATTGTGTTCTACAGTGAATCCAGCTTATGAATCCACAATTTTTAAGCAAATACAATATGCAACCACTACGAAGTCCCCCCTTCAACTATAAAATAATTAACAACTGATAAGTGATGACCTTTATCACATGACTATGTCTAAACACTGCCTTGAAATCCAAATTAGTCAATTAAGCGACCATGACAGTTCTCATTATCTCTATTGTGATTATTTATGGTTGCTCATAAAGCTGAGATTAATAAGATTGTTCCTCCAGAGATTTGCTTATGGTCAAATGAAATCAAACTGAAAGTGACTGCATCTGTATGGATTCCGTTCATAGACAAGATGCTCTTTAATTTCAGACAAGTTTCTGGTTTAGGAGCAACTGGTTCTTATCAACTGATGATTCCATTTACACCATCACCTGCATTGTTAGCTGGTGATGAAGATAAAGCTGAGATAGAAACCATCTTAGCAAGTGATAGATATGAAGAGAATTATGTTGTTAGACCTACCAAATCTGGTCGTAACAAATCACCAGTAAAACGAACCCCATCGAAAGGCAGAAACACAGACACTAAAAAAACAGAGAAGAAATTGGCAAAGAAAATGGCAGCTGGAATCGTTAAAAAGGTCAAAAAAGCACCAAAGGGGAAGAAAAGAGGAAGAAAATCTATTGAATCTGAAGATGATGATGAGGAGGAGGAAGAAGAAGAAGAGGAAGTTCCCAAGAAACCCACCCCTGCTAAAAAGGCAAAAACATCACCTAGGAAAAGTCCAGCTAAAAGTCCAGCTAGAAGTCTAGCTAAAAGTCCTGTTAAAGCTAAAGGTCGTAGAAGCAGAACTACTGAAGCAGAAGTTGATGTTGAAGAAACACGTCCATTGAAAAAGAGAAACAGAAATACACCAAAAAGGAATGATCGCGGCATTGTTGAGAAATCTTCACGCACATCTCGTGGAAAATCTTTATCATCTTATAAAGAAGCTGTAGAATCAGATGTAGATGAATCTGATGCTGAACGTGAGGAACCAGTGAAAAAAAGATCTAAGTCTAGAAGATAAATATAATTGTTCATTGTTTACGATTCAACTGTATTCAAATTATAATTCATATAGTCCAATTGTTAGTTATATTTTACGTTGCTATTTGTTATATTTTTGTCAGAATAGGAAGAAATTTTACTAGCTTCACTATATGCCTTTTATATAGAAAATCTTTCATTGAAATAATGAGATTTTACAAAGTGTACAGAAAATTTTATATGTTTTAGATTCATGTTTGGACAATTTTGTTACATTTTAGTATTCTCATTGACTGCTGCATTTTTTTTTATTCTTTTTGTTTAATTGTGTCTGAATTTTGCCCTCAAAATTTAAATCAATATTTGATAATTATCATTTATTTTTATCACCATTTCATTGCAATATTTTATATGAAAATGTAATTACAGTCAGGGGTTCAGATATTCTCGTTTTCTGCATTTGTATAGTCAACTATGTCTGATTAAACTACTAATTATCATCCATTATTTCTCATTTCATTTAACATCACCAGACTGAATGTATTACTTCTATTCAATAGATTTGTATCCATCATAATTCAGAGATTTTAAAATTGTTTCCAAATTTTTTATTGTTTTATTCAGAGATTATTTTTAAAGAATTTGAGTTTTATTTAGGATTATAATAAAGACATACAATATTTCCAGTAGTGAAGTTTATTCAGGCGCTCCTGAAACATTTCAGAATAAACATCAGGAGTATAGTTTGTCTACATTTGAATAAAAAAAGCACTGAATGTTGAATTTAAGTTATGCCTTTGGAAGTAACTTCTTGAGAGAAGTATGAGAATTGCTTTAAAGTACCAAATAATTCAGTTTGATTTTGTTAATTGTAGACAAACTAAACATCAGGTTTTTTACTTTGAAATGTGTTATAATTGATAAGCATATATTCAGACTGTATCCTTGTTCTTGTTGCTTTACATGTTTCTGTTAGAATTAATGTATTTTTTAAATGTTTGTATTAAGTTCCAAAGCAGGAATTAAAATTTTTGTTTGTGTAATTTGATGTATTTTTTCTATAACAAGCTTGTTTACTTAAAATACATATATTTCTTTTCAGATGGAAATCAACAAATTTCTTAAGAACTTTTGTCCCTGAAGCACAAAATATAAACTAAGGCAGTCTACTATATCCTTAGAAAAGTTCACAATATAATATATTATGAATTGTACTTGATAAAGTGGATTGTTCATGTGTATGTTTTAGATAGTGCACAAATATGGTTACTGTACTTACATTTTTTACTATAGACTAAACTTAATGCATTTTAAGATTGTTGTTTCAAGTGTTCATATTGTTATGTTTATAATGATTTGTTTGTTTGTGTGGGCTCTGTTTATTTGAAATTATACAATCATCTCATATTGTATTCATGTGTAGTTAGTAGACAATATAATACATGTACTTTCATTGATATTAAAATCATTTATAAATTTAACCATATCAAGTTTATGGCTTACCATTCAGCTCATATTTTTCTGTATTGGATAAAATTGCATATGGTTTTATGCATAATATTAAAGTGGTTGTAAAGAGATTTTCTAGCTCGATTTTTATGTGTGGGGCACATCTAGAGATTCATTTTGCAGAATTCAAATTCAAATTTTCTGTCAGATGTCTATGGTTCCTATAATTATAGAGAAAGTAACAGTATATGACAAAAGGTGCATAAGTTATCTTAGGGCCTTTATCATAGCTATGTCATAAAAACACTTAATTTTTGTGGAATTGCAAGAACCATAGATGTCTGAATGAAACTTGGAATGGTACAGATTAATGGCTCTGATACACATAAAAACTTTAGAAAACCTTTTTACTTGTTTTCTCCTCTAAGAATAGCTTCAGAATGAAATAGTTGCTTTGAATTGAGAAGATTGCTAAATTGTCATGTGTTATCTTTGATATTACAAAATATGAAAGTGATCTCAATAGCCAGAACATTTTCAATGGATTTTGGGGCCTATAATGTATAATATATCATTAATATTTCAGGATTCCTTTTGCAGTACTTGGTTTATTGATAACTCTTAATAGACAAGCCAATTTTATTACAATTTATAAAATATATATTTCATGCTTTCATACATACGGTACATCTGACATGCAAGTTCTCATGATTTAAAGTTATTTAACTGCATAATTGTTGACAATTGAACCTGAGATAATATAATATTTGTGGGGGATGAAAACACCATCAAAAACTCTACCTTCTACATAATTACATGTACTTGATATTTACGGCTGGTTGAAAGGGCAACACCATTAAAAGTCATGGGAATAAAGGTAGTATTGTAGTAGACTCCTCCAAAGAGAAGTACCATCAGGTGCTTCAAAAAGTCTGCTTGCGCGACACCCACTACTACAATGGTCAAAATCGTGACATACATCCAGATAAATTCTAATCAACCAAATGACATCACATATTGTTAATGTCATATTACTTGAACTAAAATTTACTAATTATTGTGGCTGTACAGGTTTATTTACAATCTACATATAGAAATAATTTTCATACATTAAAAACCATACTGATTGTTCTCTAGCAATTGTAAGTAACTTGTTCTCTAGCAATTGTAAGTAACTTGTTCTCTAGCGATTGTAAGTAACTTGTTCTTTAGCAATTGTAAGTAACTTGTTCTTTAGCAATTGTAAGTTACTTGTTTTCTAGCAATTGTAAGTAACTTGTTCTCTAGCAATTGTAAGTAACTTGTTCTTTAGCAATTGTAAGTAACTTGTTCTCTAGCAATTGCAAGTAACTTGTTCTCTAGCAATTGCAAGTTAATTGCTCTCTAGCAATTGCAAGTTACTTGTTTTCTAGCAATTCTAAGTAACTTGTTCTCTAGCAATTCTAAGTAACTTGTTCTCTAGCAATTGTAAGCAATTTGTTCTCTAGCAATTGAAAGTTACTTGATCTCTAGCAATTGTAAGTAACTTGTTTTCTAGCAATTGCAAGTTACTTGTTTTCTAGCAATTGTAAGTAACTTGTTCTCTAGCAATTGTAAGTAACTTGTTCTCTAGCGATTGTAAGTAACTTGTTCTTTAGCAATTGTAAGTTACTTGTTTTCTAGCAATTGTAAGTAACTTGTTCTCTAGCAATTGTAAGCAATTTGTTCTCTAGCAATTGAAAGTTACTTGATCTCTAGTTTTTTCAAAGCTTGAAAACAAAGCGACTTGATCGAGACAAAAAATCAAATCTTGAGTATTACTAATGCATGAGCAATATTAACAATATCATTGTTACATTTATTTCTTGTTGAACCATATTTTGGTTAAGAAGCCATCAACAGCAAGAGTGTTCTAAATAAAAGGGTTGAGTCTGTGTCCTAATGTAGGCAGGAAATTTCTTAAAATTGTCACTCCTGCCTTACTGCGCTGTGTCAAAGTCTTACATAAATACAAATAAGAAATGCATAAGTCTGATTATAAAAAGGTGGTTACACAGTGTCAAATACATACATAAAAAACAGATAGTTTTTACCACAGAATTCATAATATGTAACTTAATACCCCCCAAAATACTGAAATCCTTTCAGCTAGAGCTGGCTTAATTTTCTAGATAGACCTTTGAGTAATAATTTCAGTGAAAAGAAAGGTTCGCTCCTCCAGACCAATAAATTATACAAAACATTTTCTGTTAAAATGTGAAAGAAAACTCTACTGGAAGCGTTTAATTTAAATTAGAAATGTAATATAACATTAGACAATAAATTGAACAAATATAATAATACCACCCCTTTCCCTCTCCTTTAAAACTCCTTCAGAAAAAGGTTCATCAAAACGCTCCCTATTAAATACAAGGAAGCACAACACATTAAAAACACATAGTAAAAGTGACTAGGGAAGACTCATAAGTCATTATTTCTTATAAACCGATTTCCTTCTGAATGTCTACCATAATATATATACCGACTTTTACCATATGTACCTATAATAAAAAGAAATTATCTTATTTCAAGATCACTGATTTCAAAGCATAACTAAAGGCATTTTGATGTAGCTGACCAAAGCAAGATGAAACATTTCTCTTAGAATCTAACAGGCAATTCAGCATATTTTACCAAAGACATTAGATGGAATTTATGGTATATTTTTTCAATTCAAATCCAAAGATATTCACAAGCTTATATATAAATATGAAATAAATATTCAAGATAATTCTTGCATGACAATATTTCAGTTTTGTAATATATATCCACCAAATGTTACAGTGTTTTGCATCTTACTTTTTTGTATCTGATTGGACTAATGAAGACCTGCAGTATGCAATTGTGGAAATTTTGCCAAGACAATTAGAAGCTTTTTCTAAGTCAGCCCTTCCTCCGACCTGCATCACAAACAAGGGAAAACGGGTGGAAAAAATCCTATAGTAAGAAAGACTTATGCCAGGACAGAACCCTGGACCATTATGTTGACCAGCAGATCCACCACAACCCCCAATAATGTTATTATTACTAAACTGCTGAGCATTTATATAAAGAACTAACCTATATGGTCATCTCTGGATGTAGCAGGTAATGGTGAAAAATTATCAGAACCAGAGGAAGAATCAGATGAAACTACTGAACGAATCTATAAATAGATAGAGAAATCATATAACTTTATTCATTCTAAGACTAACCAATAGGCTTTGAGATTGAGATTGAGATAGGTCAAATTGAAAAAACCCCAAATAGATTAAGCATTTTATACCATGTTCACCACGGTGTGGTACCTATATAACTATATATAGAACAATTCTAACAATCAAACATACAACTTTGAACTGACAGTTTTTGTTCAGTTGTTTGTATTCAAATGCCTAAGCTTATATTGTAATTTCCATTAATAAATTAATAAAGTTAGCATACACATTCCTCACATATTGAAAACCTAACTCACTTTTTCAACCAATTAGCTGAATTTTGTATTACGTGTCTCACTTAATAGTTAAGAATTTCACAACATTTTGACTGACAGCTGGCAAAAGGTTCTAGCTCAATCCCCTCCACCCACTTAGCTTTAACAATTTAAAGGATGTTATATTAAAAGTTTAATACCTGACTTTCATGCACTTTAATAGTTTTCATGTATGGACCAACTCTTAAAGCTTCTAATCTTTCTGACTGTTTAATTGGTGAAGAATCCAGAAATTGTAACTTTGGTAATCTGTATATAACATAACATCTGAAGTAAAGATATAAAAAATGAAGCCATTTTATACCTCTTTTGTACAAATAGAAGCATTTTTACTTAAAGCTTTCACCCACTTCAGCATTTTGCTGCATAACCTTTTATGATAATGGGTCTTAAAGAATTATCTCGAGGGTAAGGAAGGCATTATATTTGCAATTATACATTAAAATTCTATCGAAGAAGAGTTTCCCATCGAATCCATCATCAGTTTTGAAAAAGGGGGCTCAAAAGAATAAAATATCTCAAGAATGGCAAAAAAGGTGTGCATTATATTCACAATTATACAATAAATTGATATTGAAGATAAATTTCACTTCAAATCCATAACGGGGCCTATAAAATGAAATATCTCAAAAGTAAAAAAGATGTGCATTATATTCGCAATTATACAGAATTCATGTCATATATGTTTGTTGAATCAAGATCGATCATAGTTGACTAACCTGTATCTTCTATAGTCATCATCATCTTTATCAAGAGAAGATAACTGATTAGGACATGCTGTATTACCCAATAAACTTAAATATTTGATATTTGGTGCATTGTTATGTAGTTTATCTAATAACTTGTCTAAATCACATATCTACAAAAAAAGACAATTATCATGAACAAAATCTACTACCAATATACAGATCAGATCATCTTCGTTAACAGAGCGTTTTAGATTATTCCCTTGAATGTTCTCTTTAATTATTCCGTTTCTGCGATTTTAATTGCTTCTGCTGATGAAACAAATGCTCATATTTCAGTTATTCTAATTTTACTTATGCGCTTAACTTTGGAGTATGTCTTTTAAATACAGTACTTTATTTGCAAGAAAGCTTATATAGTGTATCACTTACCTTATTTTTATTTAAGGTCAAGGTATGAAGACGTTTTAAAAGTGGTAATATTAAATCATCATTGAATTCATTATTATCTAATATCAATTCTTCTAAATGTTCAAAATGTTCTACACCATCTAAACAACTATAATATCAAAGTACAATACATGAATACATATGTTGCAAATAATAGCTAATTGTGCTTGAATTGAGAAAAAAAAAAAATAATCTTCTCAAATTTCCTTTGATAGTTGATAGAAATATCTGCTTTAAAAGCCATGCAACACCATATTTAGGGATTGATGTGGGTTTTGAATATATGTAAATAGTCTTCAGAAGTGCATGAAATTCACAAAATCCGTTTCAATATACTTCAAACTAGATATTTCACTTTCTATTTCTAAATATGTATGTCTTTTCTTTATATGTCAGGGTCTCATAAGACGAATCATCATTTTAACATTCAAATGGGGATAATTCTGGACTCACATCGATTTGAAGACTAAAATTTTGATGGTGAGCTGTGAACAACAGATAAGCTAGACTAAATAATTCCTGTTTAAGGGAATATTATTTGTATACTTACTGTAATCTGTTAAAACTAAGATCTAATCGTGAGGTAACATTACTATACTCTGTGATTAAAGATTCTGGTATCATCACTATATCTTGTCCTAAACAACTTAACTAAAATATAGACATAATAATACAGAACCTTAAACATGTTATTAATAAGGGTTTTTAACTGTGATCTTCAGACAACTAACCTATTTCAGCCTAGTACTGAGCACTATTTTAACATTGGTATCTCCATATTAATATTGATGTATTGAAAACTAATCTAAACAGTGAATATATTTTGTTATTGTATATGTAATAATTAGTATTCAATATCTTGTAGGCTGATGTTCTCACTTTGACTATAAAAAATTAAAATGCAGTACCCAATTTAGTCACAGTTTTCAGATATTAAGAAACGTAATCACTACACTGAGACCTCTGCATTTAACAGACAGGTTGTCTTTGTTTGATTTGTTTAATGTAAGTTCAGAGGAATTAGTCAATACAGATAGTAAATTGATTTTACAAAAAACAATGTGGGGATAATTGTTTATTATGAAAAAAATCAAATCAACTTGGTAGGCTAGTTTAAGAAATTTGTGTTTTTCCTTGGGAAGAAACTGAATTCACAACTATAGACTGGCTTGATTCTATATGTGAAATCACACACATTGTTCACTAATCAATTTCATAATTATCATGTAAATTAAATATCATGTTAATCTCCTATCATTTATAACAGAAATCATGCATAACGTCAATCATTGTCACAGCTGGCCATAATAGGTCTAACTAAACAGGCTAAAGCCAAAGGTAAGATGACCTCAGCTAAAAAAAATCACTTTCAGTATCGGTTTCCCCTGTCAGATGAATTTTCACTATAAACAACGCTCGAATCTTTGTATAGTAAGAAGGAAATACTTCCTTAGAAAATTTCATAAAGACTTACATGTCCATTTTTAAAATTTGCGTTATTTTCGGCATTATCTTCAAGATTTCCCTCATCGGGTTGAATATCCTCTGTTGTCATATCGGCCATTTTGTGATATCACGTGATACTGTTGTGATCACGTGTTGTTTATAATCAGCTTAGAGAGAAGCTATCTCTAATATTATGTAGAAATATTATTTAGAAACTCGTGTAAAGCATACGGGCTTGGGGCATGAAGTTTATAGCCTACATCAATAGCTTATTGGTGACCTTGTTTTCATTGAAAAATTGTGCATATTTCATCTGTTGTCTTTCTAATTTGCATTAATATTATGTGTAACATTTTCAATACCGGTAATAAATTTTATAAAAATAATCTAAAATCTAACTTAGGGCAGGCCTACAGAGGGACTGTGTATTAGGCAACTTGGGCCCAACCAATCATCAATGGCATTAAATTGATTTACAGAGGCGTCTCGGAATGCAGGAGGGCTTATCTTAATTCTCATAAGAGGAGGAGACCCGACCCAACCCAATCCCTGGACGGCCACTCATCTAACTGAGCCACTTGTTATAGCAAATACAAATTTTAGCTGTGATACACCTGGATCTGTTCATTAACAAACAAACAAATCTTAATACTTCTCGTGGGTCTGGGTCATATTCAATTATTCCCAACTACACAGGGACCTATTCTATGTCATATCGATGTCATAGAACTGGCCTATAAGTGGTAGTTCTGACCGAAAACCATTTTTATCAATAAAAAATTAAGATGCTTTTAAATTGCGTGTGTACACTCATTTTAAACACTCTACCTTTAATAGTTTTACAAATATTACGACTATATCAAAAGGTCTTATGTGCATTCATTCATTGACAACACAGGCCTTTTTTTGTACATATGACCTTTCTGGTGTAAATTTCAAGACAAAATAGTTATGGCCTTATAGTTCTATCACAACGATATATGCTTTAAAAAACAACAGAATAAGTTTGATACACTTTTTTTTATATGATTGAAGTGCATCGACAACATCATTTTGTGTCATTCCTATTTTGTGATGCAAACTGCAGAGAAATCTTTCTGTTAATCCTTTAAAAATAGACCTACATAACACCTGTTAATAATAGATGTTGAGTAAATTACAGCTCGGATGTCAATAATATGTGACCACTATCAGGACATTTACAAAGTCAACAATAACAATAGATTAATTTTTTAAAATATGAAATTTAATATTGGTATATCTCACATTGATTTTAAATAAAGATATAATATTGATAAAGATATTAAACTAGAGGAATGATTCAGCATATTTCTAAATATATAAAAACAAAAAAAGCAATAAAATTAAATGCTGGAATGTCAACACAAAAACAACCAAAAGTTTTACATAAAAAAATGTTTTGAGATTACTTAAGAAATCGTGTCATATAAATTTTTAGAATGTATAGCATCATATAATTATATAAGTACCGGGTATGGAAAATAAAAACATTTTAAAATCTAAAATAGATCAACTAACATTGAATTCACAAACAACTGTTACAATTCATCGCTATGTGGCACTCGATTTGAGAGTTCTGTACAGCTAGGTTCTGTCGGTTCCAATTTTGCCTCAATCGAACCTTTTGGAAGCAGATATGTCTACTTGGAATGCGTTCTGACAACTGTTCTATACATTGAATGTCCAGTTGATTCAGGAACGTGCAGAACTCACCAATAGAGCACCACCTGGGATGTATTTAATCTAATTTACAAGATCTATTTTCTTTACTAACAACCCTAACAAAGCTGCAAGTTTTATTTTGGATGACAAATTTCAGCACAAATTATAATAAACTGAATGTTAGAACTTAGAGGTTAGTCAAAAGACTAGAAAATGATGTGCTATGTAAGTAGTAAAATCACAACATCAAAAAGTTGCATCAGGTAGATTGGACTTAGCCTAACGGTGGGATAATGTGAGATTTTAAAATTTAAATAAATAAAAGTAATGTAATTATATAATAAAGATTGGAATGACTATATTGGAATTAACCATGATATATCCACTGTACACTACCTATATTGCATAGTAAATAACAATAGCTGCTACCACACACACAAATATCAAAAAATTTTAACCACATTATTGGGTTTGTTTACAGACAATGCTATGAAGTTTAGAAATTTCTTGCATTTACATCACCTTGCAAATTAAGTAGGAATTTGGAAATTGTTTGGAACAAAACCATACGTAATGCTGTTAATGATAAAAACAAATTAAAAATAGTCTCACTAATTACAGAAGCTCCAATATTTTGACATATAAAAACAACAATGAAGAGTTAAAAATCTCTATATAAAAGATGGAAAAGCTAGGTAGGTATATATCTATAAGTACATTAAGCTGGATCACAACTGTCAGAGTTTATTTAATTAAAGACTAGGCAGAATTTGTATATTTTTAATGATGTTTTTTAGGTAATCCCAGAACATTATAATGACCTGAAATAAAGTAAAATATAGAAATTGAAAGAGATGGAGAGTTTTAAGTGTGTGCAATGAGGGAAATTTTGCAAGGACTGCACCATAAGTCTACTACTATTTGATTTCCAACTGTCAACAAGGCATTTTTAACTTGCACAGCCTGTAGCACAAAAGCATAACAAACTTTAAAGGGTTATGTAAGTTTTGGCTGGATTTTTTTAGTTAAAACTTTCAGATATGTTATGGGCTACATTGTCCAATTATGACAATTCTAAAAATTTAATCAGCACTGTATAGATCTTATCCAACAAATCACATCAGATTGCACTCAGCTTTCATGTCAAGGACGAAAATAAATTGACAAACCATTTACAGACTACTACAAACGAGTCTAGATAAAAATCATTTTGATAATCATAAGGCATTAGAAACAAACTAAAGTTACAAACCACAATGAGCTCGATGTATAGATTCTGTATGAGGAACTTTATTACCATTTAAATCAACACACCAACAAGTTCTTGGTTTATTGTGTTCACCTTTACATTGTTCTTTAGCATAAAAACCTTCATGATCACACTTGGGTAAAATCATATCTGTAAATATAAAATATACCATTAAACCTTCAAATTCACTATATATGTATAAAAACAAACGCAAACAAAAATTAACAAAGTAAAAGTTGGATAACAATAAGACCATACTTGATATCACAATGAATCAATTTGTATCCCGATTTTCACAAAATATCCATGGCTGTATACAACACATTTTCCTGAGGTTTTATGGTAGAGAAATAGAAATAGGCCAACATTGGAATATACTTTCTAATACTTTACCTTTGTCTTCTGTCAATAGTTTCTCTCTGAGATTTCTTAATTCCTTATAACATGGTGGTACTGCAATAACAAAATACAAGAGTAGAAAAAGATATAAACAAATTTGTTTCCGTCTTCTCAATTTGAGCTATCCGTATTGATTTTCAGAATGAAATTTCAACATCTGCTTTGTCTGTAAGTTAATAATGCATATAGTGATGTGGACATACAGTAGAAAAATATATATTATTCATTAACAAAAATAAGTAAATTAAAAACTTACAAACATCAGAAAAACAACAGCACCATTCATTTCTGGAAAGTCGGCCATCTTTATTGTGGTCACAGGATTCTAAATAAGGTCGTAAACAAGGCTCCATATTGTTTCTTTCTATTTCTTTTAATTCATTCTGATTTAAAAAGTGATTTTTATTTTCATCAAGATGTCTAAATTCCCACATCACAGATTTTAAACATTTACATTTTCCTTCTGAAATATATAATATGTCAAAAAATTAGTAATGGCAATGTTGAGAAAAAACAAGCAACTGTATATAAATAATTGTAATATAAATAAGGAATATTTATTTCATTGATATTTTCCTGTCTGTATATTCCCATAGGAAACCAAATATTAAGTTTTATTCCAGTCTGTATTTATTTATTGATATTGATAAAATGTTACAATTATGTTAAGTAATGAAATCATATGTTGTTATAGGTCCTATATTTCTGCACCTGATTGGGCTAGCGAAGACAGACAATGCAATGCAGTGCACAATGAGAGAAATGTTGCCAAGACAGCAGCATTAGCCTACTCTTTATTGTCCCTTCCAAACGACTCTAAGAAATGTATAATGTCCATTAGTAACCAAATTTTTTCCAGACTACTACAGTTTAAGAAAGAAACCTACCATGATGATGGAGTCTCAATTCTTTTTTTACTGATAGATGTTTATTGTGTTTATGATGACCATGATGTGAACGGTGGGGATGACTTTCTCTATCTTGTGCATGTATCAATCTGAACCAACCAGCTAATCTCTGTCTCATTTCAGCCATATCATCTGCTGTACATTCTGTAACAAAATTATCAAATTAATCTCTGCCTAAATTTCAGAAAACAATAGCTTTGACAGATTGACAGATTTTCTAGATTTCCTTTAAGGTAAGAAGAGGTGCGCATAATATTCACCATTATACAGTGTATAGGTAATTCATTATTTATGGCAAATGGCTTTTACATCTTTTGTGGTCATGTACTTGATTACAGCAACATAGTCTGTCCATTTAACACACATGTACTTGATTACAGCAACATAGTCTGTCTATTTAACACACATGTACTTGATTACAGCAACATAGTCTGTCTATTTAACACACATGTACTTGATTACAGCAACACAGTCTGTCTATTTAACACACATGTAATTGATTACAGCAACATAGTCTGTCTATTTAACACACATGTACTTGATTACAGCAACATAGTCTGTCTATTTAACACACATGTACTTGATTACAGCAACATAGTCTGTCTATTTAATACACATGTACTTGATTACTGCAACATAGTCTGTCTATTTAATACACATGTACTTGATTACAGTATCATAGTCTGTCCATTTATTACACATCTACTTGATTACAGCAACATAGTCTGTCCATTTAAAACACATGTACTTGATTACAGCAACATAGTCTGTCTATTTAACACACATGTACTTGATTACAGCAACATAGTCTGTCTATTTAACACACATCTACTTGATTACAGCAACTTAGTCTGTCCATTTAATACACATGTACTTGATTACAGCAACATAATCTGTCTATTTAACACATATGTACTTGATTACACCAACATAATCTGTCTATTTAACACACATGTACTTGATTACAGCAACATAGTCTGTCCATTTAATACACATGTACTTGATTACAGCAACATAATCTGTCTATTTAACACACATGTACTTGATTACACCAACATAATCTGTCTATTTAACACACATGTACTTGATTACAGCAACATAGTCTGTCCATTTAATACACATGTACTTGATTACAGCAACAGGGTCTGTCCATTTAATACACATGTATTTGATTACAGCAAAATAGCCTGTCTATTTAACACACATGTACTTGATTACAGCAACATAGTTTGTCTATTTAATACACATTTACTTGTGTATTTATTAAACAGGTTTTCCACCAAGATATTGTGTATTTTTGTTTTTTTTTCTCATTCCTTCATTATATTGTACCCATGGACTGAATGTTAGATAGGGCTGTGTTCTTGTGTATTGGGCCTAATTTTGACCCATGTAAAATAAAGACTTTACTATTATAATTTTTCTTGTATCAATTTTTTAAAACTTTTTAATCCTGAGTTTTTTTCTCCAATATGTAAGGTTTTGTCACCTTATAGTGATGGCATATTAAAAAATCAAATTACCAAAAGCTAGCATATTTTCTATTAAGATACCTCATGAACATTTCAAACAAGATTGAAGATTGAAGATATGAGGCACTGGTTTGGATCTGACACAACATACTATGTTAAGCTACCTCAAACTTTGTACATTACTGCACTCCAATTCTCTGTTCTGTACAAGCAGAGTTATCATAGAAAATATTTCTGTGTCAATTTCGTGTTATCAGAAGGCTATACCCCTTAAATTGTTTCCAATAAATAACTTACGATTTCCATGTGCAATTTTGTCTTCATAATGTCCTTTTCCTTTCTTGTGATGTTTAGACTGTAAAATATAAATTGTATTTTTTTAACATGTTTCATTCAGTTCACACCCAGAAAAGGAAGATTAAATTATGTCCTGTAAATCAAATATTTTTAAAGCTAACTTCCTTTAAGATTGAGTTGACTTCAGAGTGATAAAGTGTTTAATGTTTAATGTAATAGAAATATAATCAAATAAAAAGATATTTTTAAACAAGAAAATGTGCTATTTTCTTTTTTTGCGTACAATAATTCATGTAGATTATCATAATTTCAATATAATTTCATAAAATACAATATCTAATTCTAAAAGAGTAAAATAATTCAAAATCTTCTATAATATATCAACAAATTTGATCTATTAATTGAATGAACAGATGGTTAGAGAACAATGTATCTTTAAGGTCTATCTGTAGACATAACAGGATAATCAAATGTTATATGTTATATCTGTAAACATCACTGTACTGTGATCTTCAAATAAAAACTTGGAAAATTAAACTATTAATAGCCCAACTCAGAACTAATTCTTAATAAGAAGTCACAGCTTTCTGTTTATATTGAAATCAACAAGCAATGGATGAATTCAATATAATTTTTATTGTCCAAAAAGATGAAAAGGATAGATTGTCTTAAAACTTGCTCATGCCTGTTAATAGAATTCAATTTCAACTAATGTGAGGATTCTATAGCACAGTTGGTTAGAGCCTTGGTTCTTTACATGATGTCATTTTCTTGGTTAAGACTAACAAGTGACGGGTTTGTGGGTTGAGATCTCGATTGGTGTGTGAAAGTTCAATGACCTTGAATAAGTCATCTTCACTCATATTTCCAGTCGACCCAGCTGTCAATGGGTCAAAGATCAATGCCAATATATTTGGCCAAGGACCAGCTGGTAGAAAGGATCTTTAATTGTGAACCTTAGTTGTTTCTTTCTTTCTTCTGAGCACTTTTTCGGATAAGAATTCAACATCCAATAGTTAACTAACAAAGATATATTCCAAGGAATTTTAGACAGTGGCCACTTCAGAGTGTTTTTGAATACCTAGCTTCTGATAATTTAAAATCCATAAAAACTTACATGATGATTAGCAGGTTTACTATGAACATCAATATGGACATTATGTGGTTTACTAAACTCAATCTTATGATTTTTAAAATGATGAGGTTTTGGTTCCTTGTCCTTCAATTTAAAACCTTCTGATTTATGATGATTGAATTCTTTTAGCAGACGTTTACTGAAATCAAACAAAAGTAATAAATTTCAGCATTTCTTTGCAAAATACAGATTCAGCGAGAAAATTGTTAAAGGGATTGTTAAGAGGTTTTCTGATTTTTTTATATATGGTTTCCCTAATACCCATATAATTTAAGAAAATCTCATTAGAATCCCTTTTCTGTCTTCAGAGCAGTTGCATAATGTGAAATTTTCCCAGTAAAGTAGTATCCTGAAACTTTAGATTACCACTCTTGATCAATGGGATATGTAATGACATGACTGGAGTTTTACGCCCTACTCTTCTGCATCTAACTGAGCTAATGAGGACAGACAACATCATGCAGTGTACAATGAGGGAAATATTGCTAAGACAGCTGCATTAGCCTACTCTTGTTCAATTTCCAATTAAAAGTAGGACGTAAAACTCCATTCATTTAATTTCTTTTCGATTTCCAACTGTTGAGGAAACCACAGAGGAAAATACCTACCCATTCTTCATGAATTTAGCTGTAACACATATTGGTCCACCACCAGTAGCTTTACCTTCTACACAAACTTCATCAGGTTTAGGGCAATGACATCCATCAGCTAAAATGAATCAAAATTTACATTATTATTATCGATTACAATTGTCTATAACAAGCCATTTTTTTTAAACTCTTCAGACTTAAAGATGGGTTCCCTTATTTTCATTTATGAAAATGGAAATGCTAATACTTATATGAATAGAAAGTAGAGGTGTTCTAATGACTTGGAAAAATACCAGTTTGTCTCACATGTCCATAATTAATTCATAATTGTCTAAATAAGAAGAGAATTTCCAGCAGAATTTGAGTGAGTGACCGATCAAGAAAGATCAAAAAGTCTTTATTTGTTTATCCAGACTGTACATACATGGACATTTATGATTGTTTAAAGTCTCTTTACTATATGCAATAAGAACATAATGATATGATTAAGAATACATGATTTTCATTAGAAACACCAATTAATCAAATAGTTTGCTTAATTTGACTCTAAAAAAAAAGGAAACCCATCTTTAAATTAGTTCAGAGTTAAGGAAACAGATTTCTTCCAAAAAAACTTGCTGTAAGAAAATTTTCATCAACCTGAGGAATTGCAATAACTAACGAAGAAAACTTGATATTGATTTAGATCAGTATGGGATAAATCATGTTAAGGAAATCTAATTTGCAAAAAGGAAAAAGCCTATGGCTAAAAAAGCAGAAAATAATTCAAAATAAACAGCTCTATTAAATTCTAATTTTTGGAGATTAGTATCAAGTCGAAAGTTCAACCAAAAAATCAAAGAAAAACATGGATGTAAAACAGATTGAATCATGAAATCAATGATAAGGCAATATTGTCAAATGTTTAGCTTATTCAAATTTACACTTAGGGCTATATTTACTCATACGTCTGACCTAAATAACCAAACTTTCCCCGACATTTCTAATCAGTCATTTAAATGGAAATGTATACCTTGTATAAAATATATAAATAATCTCCTCAAATTGTCCAAAAAATTCAGATTATTATATATTGGGCTACTCAAACACTATCTGTTAGAAATTCATTCGCCCTGAAACCTGACAATATCCTAATGTTAGAGCCATTCCCTAGGGAACTGAATATTTTCAGCTACTTAGCCTACAGCACATAGGACCATACACTACTATATTATTTGATTATGAGCTCAATGCTTACAGATGATCTATTTCTGTCCCATTCTGTTTCACTTTCACTTCTGCTTAGAAATTGAACACTAGAAACTGAGTTTCATAACCATGAGTGATTACACAACCAGTTGAAGTGTAATTTTGACATGAATTAATGTCATTGTCAAACACTAGGCTTTATTAAGTTTTAAACAAAGACAATACCTACCTCTATGAATATCTAATTTACCATTTACACCATTATGGTGGTTACCATGACGATCAGCCTGAAAAATTAAATAGATCTTCAATAAACTCTCTTATAAAATTAAATTTAGCCGTTATAAAATTTGACCTAGACAATTGTTTGGGTTCCCCATGGTTAAACAGATCAGTTCAACTAGGTGTTAACTACTTTATCCAGTAATCTTCGACTCTTACTAACAACTTAAATAGTTTATCTAAAATAGATGATATTGTTGATATTATTGGCTTTACCAGTTGAAAAAATACTTATTTTCATAACACTTTTCAGAACTACTATCTGACATTTGGTTTGAATACAATAGGAGACAAAATACACTGACAGAAGAAATTTACAGAGCCTTTTCAAAAACATTATCACAAGATGACATTTATGACAAAATCGCAACTATTTGGAAGGGTGTATGTCAAAATCGCCCTGGTTACTTTTTTGCCTTATAAATCTAAGATTTACATTCTGAAAAGTTTCAACAAGTAAAGCAACTATTCAGCTGACAATATCCTCCTTAAAGTTAACCCTTATTTTGGCTATCACTGCATCAATCTACACTTAAGGCTCATTACATGATATTTGTAACCTATGACCCAGTTTCAGACTTTGTATGCACCTGATAAGATATTAACTCAACATAACAAGGGTAAATAAATAATAATCAATTCAAATCTGAATAAAATACAGATCTTATCTTTCCCAATGTTAAGGTGTGAGCACACAAGCTGTCTTATCGGAGATTTTTGTGGCCCATTAGAGTCTTGAGTAAAATCTCAGGTGTGTCGATACTTCCTCGACAAGATTATAATATAACAGGATTTATAATGTCGAACAAGTTTGATAATTGTCTCTGATTATTTCATTATATGCATGACAGACTGTCATCATCCAATCAGATTCAATTTCCTTTCAATTGCATGCTCCGCACGTGATGATCAACTTAGCGGAAAACGACCGACAAGAGATTTTTGTGTGCTCGCACTTTAAGTTTACTTCCATAAATGCTCTGAGCTCCAGACTCCATAATTCTGACTTGATATTTCAGAAGGGTGGTTCGAACAGACCCTTAGTTGGACTAGGATCTCAACATGTTATCTAAATCTAGCTATGAGCCTGGGTAAAAGACACAAATAAAAAGTTTCAGGAATTGTGCAAATTAAACTTGGCGACAGATTTTTGTCTAACCATACTTAAAGTGATACTACGTCTTAGAATGAACATAAAATTTAATTCTCAAGATTGGTCAATATGAGTATATATTCATCAGTGAACTTACCTGGTGTCATAAAGTTACAATTTGAAAATTCATATAACTAAGTAATTATTGAAAAACACTTAATCATAATATTAAGCGTTTTTCAATAGTTGATTGCATTTTTATTATGTTTTTTGGATTTATCGGATTATATAAG